TTGAGCCAGGGACCTCGTCGTTTTCAGTCAATATAACAATTTTTTTCGTCGATACATCATCTGATTTCGCCATACGTTATACAGTAAATATACCGCACATCCGGTTCGAATGTCCGACCCTAGTATCGCGTGATATTTTAGTGACGTCATGTCCGCGCGTCGCTATTTACTATGGAAAAATAATTTTAAATAAAAATAATTACCTTTTTAACCGATTTCAAAATTGCCGCTCTAGCTTATTGCGTGGTCACCATGGGAACGAGAAAAGCATCTTTTTCGGTTTATCAGTAGTTTATAATGCGCTATTCTAGCAACCAAGCTCCAAACGGGCGGGATTCAACGAGAGACACTTTATGTAGTCTTATTTGGACAGTTTTTCTAGGGATAAAACCATTATGGGATATATGTAGAGTTTGTTTGGGTCGAATGTAACACTCAGTTCACTCAGAGCAATAAACTAAAGGTAAAGTTATCGAAAATGGTCGGAGAGAAAAGAACATCTGTCTACAGGAAGAAAAAAAAGAGAAATTTTTCTGGAAGGCGAAAACAGAAGAAGAGTTAAGAAGAAACCGCTGCTATTGTTGACTCCTCAACTCCGAGCACCTCCTGGGATGAAAATCAGCTCTCCGACTTGGACTCTAAAGAAACTGTTGGTTCCTCCAGAAAGAAAATAAAATATGTCGACGAGGAGCTTCTTTTAGACAGCTCTGATGATGAGTTTACCTTCAATACCGAGGAAAGCGAGGGATATAGATTTATGGATGTGAAAAATTTATCCAAGGCGATCTCAAACGCGCACGTGTGTGAGAAAGGTGAGAAATTTTTTGAAGTCTGTGTCGTTCTCTGTTCTCAATTATGACTTCTTTCCCATATCATATCCCTAATTTCCAGTTTTTCCTCGCTGAATTACACTGATTTATCTATTTAACCTTTAAGAGAAAGAATTACAGGAATTGCGCATATACACTGTAAACAAAAAATTATGGGGAAAAAAAAATCACAGAATGAATATTTCTGACTTGAAGTCTTTACTTTACTTGTAATAAAATTGCCCGATTTATCTTACATTTTACACTCGATTTGTCTTTCTAGGCAACTTAACTTTTGAGGAAGATAAGAGTGCAAGAGCAGGGCTGATGTCAGTTTTCCTAATGAGTGTGTCAACTCTATGGTATGGGTACGGTGTCCTAAACATAAGCACCATTGTGTTAAAGTAGTTTGGTGTACCGCAGCATCAGCAATCTATTATTACCATAGTGGAGCTTCTTGTAGGGTGAAAATTATGGAGAGGCTATCTATCCGTGGAGATGTATGCACAAGAGAGGCAGCACATGCAAAAGATAGTAAACGATTGACCAAGTCTGATTTGCAGGTTACGCAGAAGGAAAAAAGACGGCGTCAAGGGGAACAACTTCTGCGAACTCATCGAGAGGAAACCCTTCGAGAAGCTGAAGGGGTAACCTATGAACCAGGAGGCTTTTAGACACTCCTGTGGACAAAATATGAACACTTGGACCACTATAGTGGTTACATATTTGAAAAAAATTAATTCTGATTGCTATCCGCAAGTTTAAAGGCTATTTTCTCATTAGGCAATAATTTTGTCTTCAAGAAAAAATATCTTGAGAACAATGTATCCGATTGATTTGCAATTTTCAGTGTTCCTCTCGATAAGTTTGGTGTTATATGTAGAGCAATTTTCCATATGATATATGTAATTAAAGTTATGACGTGAAACATCCCTTCAATTTCCCATGTCAAATTTAATCGCTCATCATTTGAAATGTTTTCAACATACCAGAAATCCTTCTGCTCATAACAATAAGCAACATGTCTTCTTTGAATTGATACTAAAAACATTATTTTTTAGTAGTGCCAGAAGGAGTTATCTTATCTTAAGTAACCCTTGGTCGAACCCAGCAGGTGGCACAATTAAATGAGTGATATCCTATTACAATTGACATGTGGAGCGTGAAATTTTTTTTTCATGATCTTCAAGTCACAAGCTTTCCAGAGATATATAGTTTCCTTAGGTTTTCAACTAAATCCTAACTATGAAAAATGATGAAAAAAATGGGCATTTTTTAGGTTTACCCCCACCATAATTATCTCGCAAATACTGTCGAGCCGCTTCAATCATCGTGGACAAACGGAAAACGATTTGCATACGTAAGCAACGTGCGACGACAAAGTGTCAGTCTCTACAAATTTTCAAGACTGATTGTTACATAAGGGTTCTTTGGTGAATTGTTGCCTTAAAGAACAAAGTTCTTCTCTTAAAATTGGCGTAGAAGCAGACAAAACTAAAGATAACGTCCCGCCTGATAGAATATCGAGTGCAGTGTCCATTGGTGAAATTACATCTGACAGTCTCTAGAGAAACATCAGTAATTGTTACTGACTAATCGTTATCATCTTGTCTCTTGAATTTTCACGCAGTACAGTATATTGGTAGATTCTTCTGGTCGACGACTTGCCTGCTTGAGGCATTTATACCAGATTACTTGACAGGGCTTGATGATTCTTGCTTCCTTGGCACTTTCAATTTCGAAACATCAAACTAAAAATAACTGGAGCTTATTCATAACATGTCATCATATGTCTACGAGCTGAAGTATTCATTCTGACCACCTCTTTATGAGGATTTGTTTAAAATTCAAACGATAGAAATATATATTCATAATGTTGATCGTCAACATCTTTTTTCTTCAACTTTCATTGGACAAGTGGAATAATCAAAACTTTCGCTAGTATGCAGATTGCGGGAGTATTGTTTCTGCCTTGTGAGCACTTTCACTTTCGAAACATAATAAAAAACTGCAGCTTATTTGAAACGTTCATTCGGTATCGAAGATCCCGAGTGTTAACTCGAAACTCTGTAACGCGGATAATGACTGACAGTTTGCTAATTGAAGTTTTTGCCCGTGTTTTATTCAGCTTCACACGCGGCGTAACAGAGCATTACGACCCAGATGAGCCTGAAGTCGAGACCTTTAGATGTAACGATAGCTTAAGCAGTGGTGGTCGAGAGTGGAATCGTCAGGCCGTCGATAAACCTATTTACCAGGAATATTCACCGCCATCGGACGACGATTATGATCTCTTGTCAGCAAGTAATTCTCGAGTTAGATATCGGCTCATTAACGCGAGCTCACCAGATGAAGATGGAGACGAACAGCAAAATGAAGATGATGAAATGGCTTGGAAGCGATTCAGACCATCCGTTCTTCGCACAGTTTGTCAATCAATGTACATCGGCGCATTGATTTCACTTCTTTCCGCTGTTCTCCTCGGCCTTTTTTACGTCATGATCGCTTATGTCTCGTACGAAACGACACGCAACTGCCAATTTCACCCGAAGGAGACAATCCCAATTAAAATACAGTGGATCAGAACATTGTCTGACGTGATAGGTGTTGCCTTTCTTTACATGTGGTTCTTTGTAGGAATGCTTTTTCTTTTTCGACCGTATCAGTTAAAGGGCGTTAAAAGAAAACTCATTCTTGTTGCTTTTGTCCTTTTCTGTGTGGAAACAGTGTATCGTGTTGTCTTTCAAGTCTGTGGAATATCTCATTCCAAGCTTTCTGTGACTCAGAAGATTCCTCTCAACATTCTATTTCTAATTAGCATATGTTGGCAAGTTTACCTTCTGACAAATCACTTCCGGAACCTGTCGAGTAGAACGAGTTTATTTATAAAATTAACGACACCCTACTGCTTTACTTTCTCTCTTGCCATCTTTATAACATCGTTTATTTATCCAATGTACAACAAGCAAACTGAACATGGAAAACTCCTTATTGCACTCTTCTCACCTCTCTTTGGAGTTATCTTTAAGGTAATCTTACGACATTGCGCTCAACGCTTCAAGAAAATTGTTCATCCGGGATACTCGTACATTTTGCTAGTGCCGTTATATTTTGGATTAGCGGTCGGGTTTCGAGTAATGCAGGCAGAACTTGACAACCTCAAACTCATCGCTGTTC